ACCTAAATATTGGAGCTTCAGCTTCAGCATCAGTCCTTCCAATGAATATTCAGGACTGATTTCCTTTAGGATTCACTGGTTTGATCTCTTTGCTGTCCAACGGACTTTCAAGAGTCTTCTCCAACACTGTAGTTCAAAAGCATCAATTCTTCGGCACTCAGCTTTCTTTATAGTCCAACTCTCACATCCATACATATGAAAAACCATAGCTTTGACTAGATGGACCTTTGTTGGCAAAGTAATGTCTCTGATTTTTAATATGCTGTCTAGGTTGGTCATAGCTTTTCTTCTAAGGAGCAAGCGTCTTTTAATTTCATGGCCACAGTCACCATCTGCAGTGATTTTGGAGCCCCCAAAAATAGTCTCTCACTGTTTCCATTGTTTCCCCGTCTATTTGCCATGAAGTGTTGGGACCAGATACCATGATCTTTGTTTTTTAAATGTTGAGTTTTAAGCCAGCTTGTTCACTCTTCTATTTGACTTTCATCAAGAGGCTCTTTAGTTCCGCTTCTCTTTCTGCCATAAGGGTTGTGTTATCTGCATATCTGAGGTTATTGATATTTCTCCCGGTAATCTTGATTCCAGCTTGTGCTTCATCCAGCCCAGCATTTCGCATGATGTACTCTACATGTAAGTTAAATAAGCAGGGTGATAATATACAGCCTTGACATACTCCTTTTCCAATTTGGAACCAATTTGTTGTTCCATGTCCAGCTCAAACTGCTGCTTCCTGACCTGCATACAGATTTCTCAGGAGGCAGGTAAGGTGGTTCATATTCCCATCTCTTTCAGAATTTTCCATAGTTTGTTGTGATCTACACAGTCAAAGTCTTTGGCATAACAGTCAAAGTTTTTGGCATAATTAATGAAGCAGAAGTAGATGTTTTTCTTGAACTCTCTTGCTTTTTCTGTGATCCAGTGGATGTTGGTAATTTGATCTCTGGTTCCTCTTATAAATCCAGCTTGAACATCTGCAAGTTCTCTGTTGACATACTGATGATGCCTGGCTTGGAGAATTTTGAGTGTTACTTCGCTGGCTTGTGAGATGAGTGCAATTGTGTGTTAGTTTGAACATTCTTTGTCATTGTCTTTCTTTGGGATTAGAATGAAAACTGACCTATTCCAGTCCTGTGGCCACTGCTGAGTTTTCCAAATTTGCTGGCATATTGAGTGTAGCACTTTTACAACATCATCTTTTAGGATTTGAAATAGCTCAACTGGAATTCCATCACCTCCACTGGCTTTGTTCATAGTGATGCTTCCTAAGGCCCACTTGACTTCGCATTCCAGGATGTCTGGCTCTAGGTGAGTGATCACACCATTGTGGTTATCTGGGTCATGAAGATCTTTTTTGTATAGTTCTTCTGTGTATTCTTGCAACTTCTTAATATTTTCTGCTTCTGTTAGATCCATACCATTTCTGTCCTTAATTGTGCCCATCTTTGCATGAAATGTTCCCTTGGTATCTCTGTTTTTGAAGAGATCTCTAGTCTTTCCCACTCTATTGTTTTCCTCTATTTCTTTGCATTGATCACATAGGAAGGCTTTCTTATCTCTCCTTGCTACTCTTTGGAACTCTGCGTTCAAACAGATATATCTTTCCTTTTCTTCTTTGCCTTTTGCTGCTTTTCTTTTCTCAGCTATTTGTAAGACCCCAAAAAGACAAAATCGTCATCTGAGGACGTGTTACAAACTCTGTGTATAAATAGTCACAAGTCAGAGACCAGCATTCTTTGCTGAACTGCACATCTCAGGGTTGGATTAAGAATGGATAGACTGACACCCTCTTGGATGTTGGTTCCATTGTAGATATTTCTGGCCATGCCAGGGGTAAAGACGGAACTTGTGTGGCCTGCAGTTGAGTACAGGGCTTTTCTCTGGATTCACTCTCCTGTGCTTCACCTGCTACATGTTCCCATGACCACAAGTCGGGCCCTCCGAGCAAGCACAGGGTTTCTTTTTTTACTTTCCTTTCTAAAGCTTGGAATGAAAGAAAATAGTCTTAATGATGATTTTTAACATATGTGACATACCCTTCACTGCTAACAATCTGTTTATCTTTCTAACTGGGCACGAAACCACCCTCTTCTGCTCTTCTGGCCGGGCCTCACAAACAAACTGTGATTTTATGTAGCTCGGCAGGTAGACTTTTTTGGGATAAGTGAAATCAGACCTACTCACATCTTCGTCGCTTTAGTGCCTGAAGTGTTAAAGTTTGTATTATTCACAAACTCCAAGTGAGAGCAAGGAAGAGTGTGTCTTGGCACAAGAGAGGATAGTAAAGCTCTCAGGAGACCCCCAAATTGTCACCTTGGCATTCTTTCAAATGAATCCCAAGTGGTGTGGGATCTGCTTATTTTCGTAAGTAAACCTGTCCACCTGATTCTAACCAGGAAAGAAGGAACTTTATGACACAGGTGTGTAGAGTTGTTCTTTTCACACTGCCATTTGAGGCAGGTGATGAATTTCCTCTCTTGGAATGCTTTCTCCACGACTTCTTGCATTTTTATTTCTTCAAGTTTCATATCACAGAAGTACCGGTGTGGAAATAGAAGAATTTGTTTTTTTGCGATGGAGTAATTAATACGCCTTAGACCCTAGAAATGAGAAAAAATGTATTGTCAAATGTCTTCCCCTTGGGGAAATTTACCCAAGAGAGTTGTTCATGTGCTAGACTAGGGGTGGTGGAAGGTAGGGGAGACAGATTGACCTGGCTGATCATCACTTTGGGAGCCACTTTGTGATTTTGTTATAAAGGGATTGAAGCTGTCCAGTGTCTTGTGTCCGAGGTGAATGCCAGCATGCGTGCTAACTTGTGGGCCTCACTGAGGCGGGTGCTGAGTCTTGGAGGTAGTTGTTGTTTAGTTGTATCCAACTCTTTGCAACCCCATGAACTCACCAGGCTCCTCTGTCTATGGGATTCTCCAGGAATACTGGAGTAGTGGGTTGCCATTTCCTGCATCCAGGGGATAGAGCCCAAGTCCCCTGCATCTCCTGCATTGGTAGGCAGAATTTTTACCACTGAGCCACCTGTGAAGCCCACGATGGAGGCAGTGGTGGCTGCTTACTGAGAAATGGACTATTCTTTGATTTGGTGTCTGGGTAGACTTGTGAGTGGTCGACAACTCAGGGCAGTTGGACCTGACTGTGGCCTTGTCAGTTGCCGAATTTCTTTCCTACAGAACGGAAGGCTAGCCAAAACCAGTGCTGCCCAGAGGTTAGGGCTGACCAGGGTCCTGGGGTGGTGGTACTTACCCAGGAGCTTACGTTCCTGTTAACAAGAGAGGCGGGCAGAGAGTGCCTTTTGCTTCATTGTGCGTGTGTCTTAAACAGAAACTAGTGTTGAGAGCTTAAATAGAAAACATCTCAAACAATCCATGAAATGGTAAACAAACCTGCTATTGAGGGAAAGAAAGAGAAGTTGACAATTGCATTATTCTGATCCTGAGTGGGTTCATCAGCTAAGGTCGAGGAATAAAGAAAAAGGAGATAAAAAGGATCTGGTGAAATGAATTCAGTTGTGTCATTTCTTTCTTCCTTTGTCTTCGGTTTACACCTGGTAATGAACCCATGGAGGCTTGGAGATATTGTTCAAGTTTCCTTTTGTTTTATTTGTGTGTGTGTATGGCAGGTTTGTTTACAATTTCCAAAGGGTTTTTTTTTTTTTCTTTTCCTCAACCCTGAGGAATACAAATTGAGGAGGGGGAGGAGAAAACAAGAAGGGAAGGTATTTTAGTATTTTGAAGACAGGAGGTGGCCCCACAATACAGGAAGCCGCTGTTTTTGTTTTTCTTTTCAAAGAGGACAACGGAATGGATGGTACCAGTTTCATCAAATGTGGGTTTTTACAGAGCCCTCGTGTGTCCCACCTGGGGGAGTCACACTTTGGCAAATTAAGTGTCCATCAAATCAGGAGGAGGCTGGTACAGTTTCTGTCCTGTTTTACCCCTGCTTTTTTGAAAAGCGTAAGGAAAGAGCCCTTTGTTTTCTTTTCAAGGAAAGTTACACTAAAATTCATCTGCATGGGTTCACAGAGTCCATTTGTGCCTTTCATGGGTAGCCATAGGTCATACAGGACAATGTTGAAGACAGTGTTGGTGGGTTCCTGACCTCAACATTCAGATCGGTGTGTTGGGAAAAGGTTGAAGACCTTTTATTCCCCCCCCACCCCCACTTTCTCTCTTTTTTTTTAAACTTAAAAAAAATTGTTTAAAGAGGAAACTGAGATTTTTCTCACCTGCCTTTTCCATCAGATTTCCCCACCGCATGCGAGCCTCACAGGCTTAAGATTTGTGCCTGTCGCTTCCGACGTTTTCCTCCGAATTGCAGAACTTTCAAATACCTTTCAGGGAGACTTGTTTGGAATTTCATTTTAATGGGATTTATGAATAAATCTCCATCTTAATGCTGACTAAGATTTAAACATCCATTCCTGGAGAACACTATTGGATTTTTATATTTTAAAATTTAAATCACTTGACAGTGAAGGCATAAAACATTTTTATATTTGTGAGTGCCATGTGCTTGAGCATTTCTGTTGAAGACCCTTTTTTTTTTTTTTTCTTTTTTTCCGGTTGGCTTGAATAATTCTGTTCTGCAAAGTTGGAGATACTGCGTCTTCTACTTTTCTTTCTCGTGCGGATGCCTGTGTACATTATTCGGGCTCATTTATCTCACCTACAGGGACGGGTATTCTGTGGCAGCCTGTTGCCACACTGCAATTTCCTTTAAAAAACAGTTTACTTTCTTCCTTCACTTTGAAACCTTTAACCTCAGAATTTTATTTTTAAATGCCATGAACCCTCAAAGTCAGATTAAAAGAGGTGACGCTTCCTGCCTTTCCCCAGAGATGCGTTGTAGAATGTAAATGAAGATGAAAGCTGGGATCACAGTCAGCCCCCTTAAAAAAAAAAGCACTCAAAACTTCTTTCAGGGGTTTTCAAGTGTCGAACCTCCCCGTGTCCCCACGTCTGCTCTGATTCTCCGCTGTCTGTCCACAGACTCATCCTACTCTGAGCCTCCAGATGTTCAGCAGCAGCTGAACCACTATCAGTCCGCTGCTCTGGCGAGAAACAACAGCCGTGTGAGCCCCGTGCCTCTTTCTGGGGCCGCGGGGGGCGCTGAGCAGAAAACAGAAGCCATTCTTCACTGCGAATTCTGTGAATTCTCCTCTGGCTATATCCAGAGCATCAGGCGCCACTACAGGGACAAGCACGGAGGGAAGAAGCTCTTCAAGTGCAAAGACTGCTCCTTTTACACAGGCTTTAAGTAAGTGATGTAAAGAACAGCCTTGAGGAACAAGGTGGCTGCGCCTGCTCCGCCCCTCACTACACTCTTCCCTTACACTCCTCTGTCTGGAGCTCAAGGCAGGCCCTGCCCAAGGGATGATGAACAAGTGGGGTCCTGTCTTCACAAAAGGAGGCTAGTTCCAGAGACTGCTTTTGGGTTTGGGGAAGGGATGAAGAGCTATATGAGAACCAGTGAGTTTCAAAATCAGAGCAAATGGGTGCCCGAGGAGTGTGAATGATTTCCCTGACCCAGTGCATGAAGCAGTGAGTGTTTTCCCTTTTGGAAAACTATGCCCTCCACCTCCCCACCTTTTATTTTGTCTCTGGGAAAAATAGTCTTCTCAGAAGCAAAGGCAAAGGCAAGAGAGAATATCCAGCGATAGTGACACTCTGCTACCCTTGTAAAGAATTCTTATTTCTTAAGATCATATTATTGAAAGAGAACCAAGACTTCACACTGGGAAGACTAAACTTGAACAATCACAGAAAGATTGTTGCCACATAGAGAAAGATAATCCACAGTCAGTTTTGCTCCTTAGTATAACAAAGATTGGAGTGCTTCCTTTCATTTAATCTAAGCTCCTGTGATTTCATCTCGTCCTGGGAGATTCCACTTAGGGTCATAATTGCAAGTGTAGAATATGGAGCCTGACTGCCTGGGTTTGAACCCCAACTTTGCCACTTACTGATGGTGTGACTTTGGACAAGTTAATAAACCTGTCTGTGTCTCTGGTTCCATATCTGTAAAATAAAGATAATAATAGTACCTACCTCATAGGGCTCTTGTGAGGAGTAAGAAAATAATAAATGAAGCCATAAAATGCTTGGCACAAAGGAAATGCAAAATGTTTTTGTATCATAGAAAGCTATTATAATGAGATTAGATGCTATAGTACAGATATGAAGCTATTATTATCTGCTCCTGTTGCAGTCAGGGCCTTGGCTTTAGGTCACTCCAGTATTTCAATACATACTCCACATGGAGAGGCTGGCGAGGATGGGCTTCATAAGCCCTCCAAACTTGAATTGATAGAAAAACAAGTCTCTTTTTCAGCAACATCTTAGTCACTGGGATTTGATGGAAAACGTGTAACATCTCTGACTGTTAATGTGGTTCAGTTGTTTTATAGATAAATATGCATGTGACCTTAGAACTGAGAGAGGTCGAGAAGGACTCAGATAACAAGGGCCCATTGACAGGTGTACATGTTTCCCCAGAGAGAAGCACTCAGGTTAATAAGAAGAGGACCTTGCCCATTAAACTTTGGGTTTCATCCATTTTTATGAGACATTTAAGGCTTTGTAAAATTTGAAGTTTTGAAACGGATGGCGTGAGGGAGGCACTGGTACCCTCCATGTTCAAGCTGGTAGAACAGCTCTGAGCGTCTTTACATGGTCATCAACCATCCTGCTTTCCTAACCAACCAGCCCTCCCTCCTTCCCTGGGAAGAGTCACCGAGGCATCTGATGAATCATCCCAGCTTCTCCTTCCAAGCATGATGAGAAATCCATTCTCGTAGGGATTTTGTTTTATATTTTTAACAGGCAACTGCTCATTTTCAAAAGTGAAATGGGGAGTCTCTTTTTTTTCAAACTTGCCCTGAGCCCAGCCAAGTAGCAAAATTTCCCCCAAAGAAGTGACCACTGCAGAAGAGTGCTCGGTCATTGCCCGAATGACTGAGGATCTTGTGCTCAGCAAGCACGATGAACCACTATAATTTTGGGTAACCCACCCCCGCAGCAGGGTGTCTCCAAAGGACTGCTGGCAAGGGGTGTGAGTGTGATGCATCTGGGTCCCACTCATCACCTCTCTCCCCGCTCCCTCCCAGATCTGCTTTTACTATGCACGTGGAAGCCGGGCATTCGGCGGTCCCCGAGGAGGGCCCCAAAGATCTCCGCTGTCCTCTCTGCCTCTATCACACCAAATACAAACGCAACATGATCGACCACATTGTGCTGCACCGAGGTAACCTTCTGAGCTTGGTTTTCTTGGGATGCAAGGGGTGGGAGGAGGGTGGCTCGGGTGGCATTAGAGGGAAGCTGTCTCAAGGTGGCAGCAACACCTTTGCCCCGGTCCCTTGTTCCTCCCCTTATCTCCCCAAAAGAAATCACAGCAGTCACCCCAGTGACAGCCAACAGGGTAAGAGCATCTTCCTGCTGAGAGGATTTCCTCCACCTGGAAAGAGGCAAAGGTGATGGAGTCCGCAGTGAACACTTCTGCGGGGCTTCCCCCTGAGAGAGAGATTTTACATCCCGAGTCTTCTGCTCTCACGACCTTGCTAAGGAGGGAGTGAATGAGAAGTAGAGTGGGTGGGTGAACTCATGGTAAAAGGTGAAGAGCCCTGTGGTTGTAAGCAGTTCTTTGAAGGAAGACCAAAATGATGATCTCCAAAGCAGAATGTGGGATTTCCCTTGAAGTGGATGGAGAAAATTCCTAAAACTAAAAGTAGCCTGAAATATATTAATTTTTATTTTTTTAATAGTTTGTGCCACACAGCCTGTGGCATCTTGGTTTCCCAGCCAGGGGCTAAACCCATATCCCCTGCATTGGAAGGGCAGAGTCTTAATCATTGGACTGCCAGGAAATCCCACCCTGATAGATATTAAACGCCATAGACTGGGTTTAAATTCTGGCTTTAAAGCCTCTTGTGTTTTACCTCTTCTCCATAAAGAGATGATGATTATGCCTCTGAGGTAGCGTGTTGAATGTCTAGTGTGTTCATTTGGATGCATCTTGGGTGTTTGTAAATGCTGGTTTCTTTGATATATTGGGATACTTCATTTAGTGATATATTGGGATACTTCTTTTAGGTTTTTTCTTTGAACTGAGTTTACTGCTGGCCAATTAAAAACCATTAAGCATGTGCTCTCTGCAATGGAAGGAAAAATATGTAACAACTATACTTTGTCCGGAAGAGATTCCAGCCAGAGCTGGATGGAAAAAGATGACTAGAGTACCCGTTACTATTTCCACCTGCTGACCTTTCTGTCTCTCCTTCCTTCCTCCCTCCCTCCTTTTCTTCCCCTTCTGCCTATCTTGCTTCCTTTGCCTCTAACCTGGGAAAGCTTTTCAGCATTTGCCACCTGTGACTCAAATGCATTAAGTGTCTTCTGCTGCCCTGCGGAGATGTTGCTCTGAAATACTGGGTATTCGGGGGGCATTTCCAGTGTTTCCAGCATTTCCCCAGAGCCACTGCCTTTGGCCGGCGCCTTTTGTGACATGTCACCCACATCTGCTACAGACCCCAGGGAAGATCAGCCTTCAGCACCCTCAGGTCTCCCTTCTCCCCAGGCAGACTCGAGGTGTGAGATGCCTGCTGGCGAGGACATCCGCCTGCACGCCGTGCAGGAACGTTTAGGCAGGAGCTTCTGGGATCTCCTGTGGTGTGCTGCCTCAGTCACGTGGCTTCTGGTCCCTGGGCCCATGGCTGTCAAGGGCTCCATTGTCCTCCACTGCTTGGAAGGAGGCCGTGAGTCATGCTGCTGTGGCGCAGACAGGAGCTCCAAGACCCCACCTGAGCAGTGGAGTCTCTCTTGTTTCCATTTGCTGCCTGCTGGGATCAAGCTTCCCAGGTGGCGCTAGTGGTAAAGGACCCGTCAGCCGGTGCAGGAGATGCAGGAGACTCCAGTTTGATTCCTGGGTCGGAAAGATCCCCTGGAGGAGGGCACAGCAACCCACTCCAGTATTCTTGCCTGGAGAACCCCATGGACAGAGAAGCCTGGTGGGCTACAGTCTGTGGGGTCACAAGGAATTGGACGTGACTGCAGACACTTAAACACACACATGCCTGCTGGGATCAGAGTCTTGATGCCTAATGCAAGCTTGCTGACTTTCCTTCCCTGAGCTGAGAGTCCAGGAAACGAGAAGGCAGAGAGAAACACTTAATGCCTGGAGCATGCCACACCTGACCCACCACTTTTCACACATAGCTGCTTCATCATCCAGCCACACTGGGAGGGATGATACTTTGACCTGTAGTCAAATGTAGTATATGAAGCTTGAAGCTGGTAAAAACTATTTTTTCTTTGTTTTAGTGTAGTGTTTTAGGATCATTTCACAAAGAATTGAAGATATGTTAAAGATAGTTGTGCAGAACTGTGGGATTGAAAACGAAAGAGGAGATTGGGGCAAATGCAGAGTAAGGAAAAAGTAGTTGAAAGTTCACGTGGAAGTATGAGAACAGTCACCTAGAATTTTGGTGTCTGCCACAAGATACGGCATGCTCGTTAGCAGCAGGCTATCGTCTCAGCCCTGGGACTCTGGCCCACTGTGGGGGAGATAACAACAGAATCAATTGGATTTGGGGTGTTAATTAGACTTTTGAATGTTCAAGAAGCTGAGGTGCTGGAACCTGAAAGGGGTTTCTCTGGGGGGTTCTCCTGAGGGGGCTGTGTATGAAGTGGTGCATGCTGTCCCCAGCCTGAAAACAGTGGTGAACTCGCTGGACCTGTGAGGGTACAAGTATTTCAGAGTCACCCGACTGGTGAGCAGGGAAGCTGTGTGTCAGCCCCAGGTTTCTGATCCCATGATCCATCCATCGTACTGCCTGTCACTGGTTCCTTACAGTCTCTTCTGTTGATTTATAGAGATAATTTATATGAGAAGAAGCATCAGCATGTGTAGAGTTTGTCCTCATGGGGGTCAGAAAGTGCGCAATCTGGAATGAACATGAGTATTTGAGGACTGTTGTAATAGTGACAACACCCGCAGCGACAGCGATGGTTACTGTCACTGAGGACTTTTTAGGTAGCAGGTGCTGTGCTGAGTGCTTTCCAATGAGTCATTTCATGGAATTTTCACAAAACCCTAAGTGGTGGGTGTTAACCATTATCCCTGATAACAAGGGAGAAAACCAGTTCAGAAAGATTGAGCATCTTACCCAAGGTCAAATGACTAATAAAAGACCCAGCTGGGATCTGATCCCAAGCCTGCCTCACCCCTGGTCCACGCCTTTACCCACCAGGCATCACTGTCTCACCCTTGGGAAGGTGGTTGGTGTCACTCCGTCGATTACAGCGGCTGTGGTATCTGGGTCTGGGGATAGAGTCGTCTGAAGGTTGGGGGTCAGAGACGGGGACCACTGAGCCACAGGGAGGCAGGGCTCTTTGGGATAGCATGTCTGCCATCCGCATCCTGGCTTTGGGGTCCATCTCAGTCAAGATGGCAGCTCAGTGGGGAGCTAGTCTTGACGAAGAAGACAGGGTTGGGTGGGTGTCTGCCTGGCAGTTTTGAGTTGGGGCTGAACTCAGAGTAAGAAGACATGGCTGAATCTGCACCTGTGCTCTCCTTACTCTGGATGAATAAACATCTTTGGTCTCTGGGGCCTGCAGTAAGAGATCTTTCTGAGACTTTGGTTAATTAAAATACTTGGAATGAATGGCAAGAAAAACAACTTCTGAACTGGCCCTGAGAATAAGCTGCTGCTTGCAGGAATAGAGTCTCCTTAGCTTTTTGTCCAGACAAATTGCTGTATTTAAATAGGCAAGAAGGAAAAAGGAATTCATTCCACTCCTGGGTGATCTGAATGAGAAATAACCATGGAATCACATCGGCTGCTACAAAAGAGAGCATTCTGTTGGCCCATGCATTCAGAAGACATGTATTATTTGCTTGTTCCTTGCCATACCGTGCTGGGTTCTTTCAGCCAGTCTGCCCTCCTCAAGAAGATGAAGTGTGTGCGTAAGTATGTTTAAGATAGTGAGTGATAAGTATCTAGGAGATTGACAGTGGCAGATGTATTTCTGTTTGCAGTAGAGAAAGGTGGTGGATGGGGGTGGCTTTTAAACTGATCCATGATAACATTTCAGCAGTCAGAGAAAACTTGAGGTGGGTGTATTCGTTATGTAGGGGACTTAACAGAAATGGATTCTTTTTCCGTTTTAGAGCCTAGAAGTCTGAAATGCAGTTGTTCTTAAGGCTGTGTTCCCCCTGAAGACTCTAGGGGAGAATCCTTCCTAGATTCTTCCCAACTTCTGGCTCCCGACTTTGCTTGGCATCCCTTGCCTTGTAGCCATATCACTCCAGTCTCTCCCTCCCTTTGCACATGGCCTTCTTCTGTGTGTGTGCGTGTGTGTCTGTGTGTGTTCTCTCTTCTTTTTACCCTGACTTTAGGGCGCACCCTAATCCCGTACGACATTATCTTGACTAACATGTGAAGACCTCAGGTCTCAATAAAGTTACATTCTGAGGAGCCAGGTGGACATTAATTTCTGGGGACTCCATTTGACTCATTACAGAGTGTAAGGAAAATTTTAACAAACCACCCAGGTGAGTAGAAGGAAGATGTGTTTACAGAGTGAAATTAGAAGGTACTAGGAGGCAAGGCTAGAAAGGTATATTCCGGTCAAATGAAAGAGGGCTTGGTCCCATCGCAGGAGTAGAATGCTACTCTGTAGACAGATGGGAAGCCAGGGTACTGACGAGACACCTGGTGAGTTCTAATTTAGCAGAGACTAAAGCCAAGGATTATAGACCCATCTCTTTGAGGAACCGTGAACTTAAGTCAGATCAACATTTCATGAGGTTCACCATGATGGGACCAGTGTAACCAGGGAAAAATTAAGCCCTGAGGCTTCTGGTTCAAGGAGAAAGTGGTATGATGTTGGAAGGGTTTTCATTCATGTTACAAATGTTTATTGAACACCCACCACATGCTAGCATTGCTTTAAGCTCTAGGGATACTGCCAGAAGTCAGGCAAGGTTTGGGCACCAAAGGAGTGTGAACTTTAGTAGGAAGAGAGACAGTGAACAAGGGAAGAAATAGTTTCAGAGTACGTGAATGTTTTTGGTTGCTCAGTCATGTCCAACTCTTGGCAGCCGCATGGACTGTAGCCCACCAGGCTCCTCTGTCCATGTGATTCTCCAGGAAAGAATACTGGAGTGGGTTGCCATTTCCTCCTCTAGGAGATCTTCGTGACCCAGGGATCAAACCCAGGCTTCCTGCATCATAGGCAGATTCTTTACCGTCTGAGCCACCAAGTAAGCCAGAGTACATTTCTACTGAGTTCTTATAACCATTGGGAGCACAGTGAATGCCTCATGTGTTGCTTGGCCTGCCTGTCCCTTATATACCTATAGCAAACCTGAGAAATTGGGCAAAAATTGAATTACAGGCATGAAACAGTTTCATCAAATATTTATAATTATGGAGCTGTGTAATCACTGAGATTGGTCTCCAGTTGGCTTATAAACTTAAAATTTTTGTTTCTTAGCCTGTAACCTCAATACACACATAAATACTAAATATAACTGAACACTGCAGGTGGGTTATCTTTTTTGGAACAGAACTAATCTCCCCTCATATATCTGATCAGTATCATTTTTTCTTGAGGAAAAAAAAAATACTACAGTGAGATTGACAGTCTTTCATCTTATTCAGTGAAATTACATGTTCCCTTCATCCCCATCACATACTGCTTCCTGTTAAAGGTACAGTTCCCAGCTCTTGTCTGGCTTGAGGAGAGTAGCTTGGCTAATGTCAAAACAACTTTTTACAGGAACTGCTGTGCTTATGTTTACATGTGCCTGTTTATGGTTATACTTGGGGATGGTGGCTTTCTGGTCCTCAGCATTTGTCACTGGTTTGTGAGTTAGATCTTTGGTTTGGCCCAGCGAGGGTCTTAGTCCTCTACCACAGCAGTCTGCATTTAGAGTGGGTTGGAATGAGTGACTTCCAAATCCCCACCCCAGCCCCCTACCCAGCCCCCCAGCCCCCCAGTCCCCCCACCGCTGCCACCCGCCTGGCACATTGTGGGGAGGAAACCCACGTGTGTTGTGGGCTGCCTTTCAGGAAGAATTGTTACTTGGTGATTCTGGGCTCCACAGTGATGTGGGTTTTTTCACTGTTTTGAGTAGAAATGACCCCCTCTCCCCCAGTCCCCCCTTAGTAGTAGCGATTTTATAGATTATTTTCCCACCCAGCACATACTTCTGGGCTCTTGATGAACCTTAGCACCCACGTGCTTTAAGGTGGCACTGCTCCAGGCTGGAACCTCTCGAGTTTTGTGTCCAGCTGCAGCACTTTTAAGTATCTTTTTAAGTATGAGTAGATGAGAGACACGATCTATCTTGTAGTCAAAACTGGTGAAGTCATAATATTTTTGCAGCCAGTGCTGGAAGCTGAGTCACAATGAGTGTGATTCAGGCCTTGATTTCTTACCCAAGGTAATTTTGAGAGGTGTGAAGTCAAGAAAAGACCCACAGTTGTCGCTGCCCCCTGTAGGAAAAGCCCCAAGTGGCTGAGCTTCCGTAGCCAAGACAGGGCTCAGGCCCTACCTGGAAACAGTCCAGTCTCCCGGCTTCTGTCCTTCACTGGCCTCCACCATGAATAACCTCATTCAGAAAACGCTGTCAGTCCTTCGCCCGCCTTTCAGAGTCTGTCTTGTTTTTTTTATCTTGGTCCTGTTAGCCATGTTTGTAGAAAGCGGGGAAAAAAGGTAACTTTCTTTTCTAAAATTAACACCCATAACCCATATAACTAAGAGACTTGGGAGTTATTGTAGTTAATGTCTTAGTTTGGAAATGAGGAAGTCTTACCTTTCAGAATAAGTCATCAGGGAAATGACCTTTTATGAAATCCAGGAGATACTTGAAAGAAATTCAGATAAAAATGGTTGCCTTAGACACTGAGAGCTTTTGCGATTTTGAACTATTAAGAATAAAAGGCTGAGAAGTGCCCGGCATACAGATTGGATGTGACTGGAGAGTTCTTTATAGGAGAGACGGAGGAGGGTGCATGCAGGCAAAGGTCAGCGGACCCGGGCTCCCAGGCCACAACTTCGTGCTGAATTAGAGGGCTGACTTTGAGGAAGTAGCTGAACTGAGCCGTTTTCAATTTCCACTGAAGACTCTCAAAACTGACTTTGCAGGGTGTTATGAGAATAAAAAGTAGCCCAGAGAGTCCAACACATTAACCATGCTTGAAACCTAGTGAGCTCTTAATAAGTGGGAGTGGCCGTTTCCATTCAGTGTTACAATTTCACCTCCAAGGTATTCTGAATGCTCCCGACTTTGTGCAAAATGCACTGAGACACACATAGTGAAATTGGAAACTGCAAAGAAAACTAACTAAAGGAATTGAAAGGGAGACCTATAAGAAAAAACAAGTTTGAAAGAAGCGATTATTTACAGCGGAGAAGGGAAGGCTGGAGAGCAACTGAATGACTGTCTTCAAGATGTTGGAGGCGTCGTTATGCGGAAACTTACAGCCAGCTCTTCTCCGTCTCCACCGAGATGGACAGAAGCAGGGCAGGCGGGACAGGCCAGAGCCAAAGGAAGAGCGGGGAAGCAGTTGAAGTGGCAAAATTTTATAAATCAGGAACAAACACAGAGAGCAAGGGAGGGGGGTGCAAGTCTCAAAGAAGGTGCCAGAAAAGTTCACATCAACACTTCCCCATGACCGCCTGAGGTGTAGGGTGTGGGGCCAGTCTCCTGGCTTCAGCCTGGACCCCCATCTCTTGCCGTGGGCGCCAGCTTGCTGATGTCTACACATCCAGGGCGGTTGGACTGAATACTTGGCACTTGGCTTGGAGCAGTGTCTGAACCAGGGTCCATCGTGCCTTCTCATGGTGCAGCTGTCTGGAGGCATTTTCTGTTGTCACGATGGGGCAGAGGGGCCACTGCTGGCGTTGGTGGGCAGAGACCTGGGGTGCTGATATACATCCTACAATGCATAGGAAACCTCCCAGAGGAAAGGATTATCTGGCATCAAAACATCAGTAGCACTACTATTGAGAAGTCCTGAATTAGAAGCATAGAACGACCGTCATAGCCCTGGCTTCCTTCAGGCTCATTAGTTTACACCAAAGCATTTTTTTTTCCCTCCCATTTACACCAAACCGTGGAACTAACTGAATGGTTAGAAGACTGTTACAACATTTGCTATTCTAAGAAAATGTGTGGATTCCATTATAATCATGTGTTTCTTAGCTGTCTGCGCGACTTTGGTTTAAAAATATTTATATTTCTAAATAAGCGACTGACTCTTTGTATAGGGAAAATAACATATGCATTAGAGCTCCCGGGAGTATGGTGCAGACACCAACCTTCCACGCTTCCTCTGCCCACATTCTCACTGGCCAATTAATCGCTGCATTCAGGGACGCCGAAGGCAGGGACTGCCCTGCAGTGAGCATGTGCTGGTTCAGAGGCAGGCAGGCCTTCGGGTGGGAGAAACTGGCCCAAGGGCCAGACACAGGCCAGCCCCAGAGGGAGGTCTCCCAGAGCGAGCGACTTCAGCGCACAGCATTCTGATGCTCTGTGAATGTTGTTCCTGGTGACCGAAGATATAGTGCGCCTTCCTGACTTAATAATACATTGCTGTTTCTAAATAATATAAGTGTATGTTGTGTGCGTCCATTTGTAAACTTTGAGAGTCTTCTGAAATCCAGACACAGCATGAAAACACATGCTATATTTGATCCTTGCATAAATAGCACAGATTTTAATTTTATCCCAGTTATGGATATCTGGCGCGTGTGCCGATACTCTGGGCAGACTGGTGTGAAATTTAATTTGAGCAGTTAAACACAAGGGTGAGAGAGTACAAAATAAACAAGAACACACACTCTTCCAGCCCTACAGCATTTGGTATGTCAACGGGAAAAGCACCCAAATCCTCTCTCTTTTATTTTCTCCCTTGGTGACAATCACATTACAGATTTATCTGAAAAGGCACAAATCCTCCACATCTCCCACGCCACCGCCACCCCACCTCTCCTGGAAGATTGCCTATAGACATTTCATCTGCGGGAGCTCTTCCCTAGGTGGGGTTGGAGTTTCAGTGAATGAAAGTGTCCAGGATTCTTTGTTTTCAGATTTGATCTTAGAGATTCTTTTGGTTTCAAGAACAGGCAAACAGTCTCCTTGAGAACATCTTGGAAGGGGAAACAGGAATGGAATTGGAAATGATGGGAGAGAACTGATTTGCGGTTCTGTAGACAGACATGGGTGGGGTCCCAGTTTAGGCAGTTACAGAGTCTGTGACCTTTGGAGAGGGACTTGAGAGCTCAGTTCCTGTTTAATACTTTGCAGAAATGGGACTAACTTCGGCCTAACAGCTGCCAGGGAGGTATACAGTGGTGCCACATAGGTGCTCCAAGAATGTCGTTTTCCTTCCCCCTTACGGACATCTTGTTGTTGTTGTTCAGTTGCTAAGTCATGTCCAACTCTTTTATGACCCCACAGACTGTATTTAACCCTCCAGGCTCCTCTGTCCATGGCATTTCCCAGGCAGGAACGCTGGGGTGGTTAAGGACGTCTGTGTGAGCCTAAATGCTACTTGCCGGGGAAGTAAGATGCGTTGGTGGTTGCTGCTGATAACCATTCATGTTGGTGAAACTTCTATTCTTGTCTCCTCCTTTAATCACCTCCATTCAGAAATCCGCCAGCACCTTTCAGCCTGCCCACTCCTATTTATAGGTCATTCTGGGTATCAAGTACACGGAGCTGTTGGCCTTAGAAACACCCACGTGTCCCAGTGGACTGTTGACTCGGGGGTGGGGTGGGAGGGTGGGAGGAGGTCTGTGTGCAGTTCACAGACCCACAGGCTTGAGAAGTTTCAATAGTGGATGGGGGAATTTTTCCTTATACTCCCAAGAAAGACCATCTGCTTTCCATCAGTAAAAGTTCCCATCTTTGTATTCAATTTGTTTCCACAGAAGAGCGGGTTGTCCCCATTGAAGTGTGCCGGTCCAAACTGTCCAAATACTTGCAGGGAGTAGTTTTCCGCTGTGATAAGTGTACCTTCACCTGCTCCAGTGACGAGAGCCTCCAGCAGCACATAGAAAAGCACAATGAACTGAAACCTTACAAGTGCCAGCTCTGCTACTATGAGACCAAGCATACGGAGGAACTGGACAGCCACCTTCGGGACGAGCATAAGGTAGGGGCCTGGCCTCCCCGCCCCCAGCCCCGGCCAGCGTCGGGAGGGCCCGGGCCGGACCCAGCTACGTCGCTCTGTGCGGGACGGATGCACGTGCTGAAATCAGGTTTAAAGCGAGGTTCCATTTATTCTATTATCAATGACCTGTAGGGTCATTTTAGAAAATGGGAGCACAGAAGAGGGAAAGAAAACCATCCATGATGCCGCTCCCCCCGCCACACATCTCACTGCTTTAATGTTTTTGGGTCTCTTCTGTGCCCACTTTCCTTTGTTTTATTTCATTCTGAGTATATGTGATCCCTTATATGAAAGAGTGGATCTTCTCTTTCTTGTTTTCATCTTACCCTAACTGGAGTACTTCACCATATTAGTTTAAATGTATTATCACAAAGATTGATAAATTTTTTCTGTAAAGGGCTAGGTAGTAAATAGTTTAGACTTTGTAGACCAGATGGTCTCAGTGGCAGCAATTCAGCTCTGCCCTTGAAGCAAGAAAGGAGCCCTAGAGAAGACATCAATGAATGGGCATGGCTGTGCTTCAATAAAACTTTATTTACAAAATTGGGCAACAGGCTGTGGACCTGCAGTTACTGGCCCCTTCTTCTCTCTGATGGCTCTGCCAGCAAGTGCCTCAGTCATGTAGGTTGTTTCCAGTATATTGCTGACTACAGAAATTTTCCAAGTCATTGCTGTTCATGTCTAAGCATTATAAGGACTGTAAGATGTGTGTTATATTTGCAGGAGGGAACAGATTGGTACAGGACATAAAATATGGGGTTTATGAAAAAAATTATCTTCCAAAAGTCTGCTGATCAGAGGGTAAGATCATCCCAGGCGACTTCCTCACTTCTCAGAGGATAACATAGCAGGGATTAAGACCATTGTTTCTGGTTTTGTATATTGTCCAGAGTTTGGGGAGTGTGTGTGGTGGGGGTGGGGGGGCGGCAGGGAGTAGGATTAGTATAGTGTTTGTTTCATGAGAAGAGCCTATTCAAGTGTTTTGTAATTAACCAACAAATCCCAAACATCTAGTGAGTGTTTACTTAAGGTACAATGAGAAGCACTTTTGATATTGTTTCCTTTTTCTTGCTGTATACTGTCAGTGGAAATATAGTTCCTCTTTTCTGGACTTACAAACCCAAGTTAGAAAGATTCCTGTCTGAGTCATGTACACCCAAGGGTTAGAATTTTTCTGTAGGGTGTTGAGAGAAGGCTGAGCTTTATCACCCACCTACAATTTAATAGCATTTTTGCTAACTTCTCTTCTTTGGAATGCATTCATTTTCTAATGTGTCTCCCCAAAATGAAAGCAGAGAAAAGCCTGAATTACCTCACTTAAAAGCTTTTAATACCAAAAAAACCCCCAAATTTTAATGCCCTTTCATATTCAAACTTCCTTGGCATTTCTGCCCCCACACTGAAAGGAAAGTCACTCATCTATGTCAAGCTAAGCTGTTTACATTTATGTGCATGTGTCTTATTTATGTTACCACCTCACGTCTGAAGCCATCAGACTGGTATTTTGGGACAGAGCAAACCTGGAAGGTAGATTCTTACCCATTGGTTGCATAGTAGCTGTGAGTAACTGGGGAACTCCAGAGAAGACTAGAAACCTTACCAGATATGGAAGCAGGCGGGAATGTGAGGGCTTTAGAATAAACATCAGGCAAGTGGGTTACTCAGGAAACTAGGAGTCCAGTTAAGAACTTCTGGAGCCACACAGACCTAGGATTGAATTCTGTCTTCACCGCTTACTGTAGCTGCTTCAGCAAGTTACTTCAATTTCTGTATCTGTTTCCTGATCTGTAAATGGGAATTGCATATCCTTGCATACCTTACTCAGAAATTTTGTAAGATTAAACGAAGTCCTCCTATCTCCCACACTTTGAGAACCATGTCTCAGTCTGTCTGTGAGTTGAACTGTGCTCAGGTTTAACAACCACCCATCAGAAAGGCAGTTATGGTTCCTAAAGACCTAAAATAGACTATAAAATCACCGACTATACTTTGCATTTTAGACATGGGCTTTGATGTGTTGTATTTTCACTATGCTGTGCTTGGTTCTTTAATCTTACTCCAATGAGCACCTAATTGAGGCTAAAGAATCACCACTGTCAGCATGCCTAATGATCTTCATCTTTTGTCTCAATTGTTGTTAAGTGTATGAGACTTGTGCTTATTAATGATCCCTTCTTTTCTAAGTGATGAATACAAAATGCAGTTTGGATTTTTTAAATAATTATCCAAGCACTGTTTTATAAACAAAGACAGCTGCTGAAAGTGAATTTTTGACTGATAGACAGTGACATTATGCATTAATTAAAAATGGTCATTCCCTCGCATAAAGGACGTACAGAAGTCTGATTTCAGCATTCCTGAAAAGGCTGTAAGTGTCAATATACAGTGTACTAAAGAGAAGCTTGCTAATGATTGAGATACAAAAGTCAAGAACCATAAGGTAAGAATTAGAAATTAAAGCCAAAGAATTAGAAAGGAGAAATAAAACTGTTTTTGTTCACAGATCTTTGTAGTTAGAAAATCCTAAATAATCCATGTAAAAAGCTACTGGAATATTCATGAGTTTATCAGAATTGCAGGATATATGATCAATAATAAATTTCTATACACTAGTAATGGACAATCTGAAAATGAAATTTTAAGAAGATCAATTTCATTTATAATGTCAAAAAGAATAAAATGCTTAAGAATAAACAAAACTGTAAAAGCTATATGTTGAAAACTACAAATGCTATTGAGAAACAAAAGAACTAAATTAATGTAATATATACCATATTCATGGATTAGAAGACTCAGTATTGGTAATGCTTCCCAAACTGATCTGCAGGTTCAATGTAATCTATCAGAATCTCAGTAGGCTTTTTTCTTTGGTAGAAATTGATAAACTCACACTGAAATGTATATAGAAATGCAAAGGACCTAGAATAGCATAAGCAATATGAAAAAAGAACAAAATTGAAAGACTCATCCTTCCTGATTGTAACTTTTACTGTAAAGCTACAGTGATCCAGAAAGTATGGTATTGATATAAGGACAGATATATGATCAGTAGTGCAGAAGAGAAAGTTCAGAAATAAATCCTGATATATGTGGTCAGTTGATGTTTATCAGAGGTGCCAAGGTAATCAGGAAACAATAGTTTTTCAGCAAGTGCTGTTGTTTCAGTTGGATTTCCATATGGAAAATAGAGATTGTTGACCCTTACGTCACTCAGTGGACATGAATTTGAGCAAACTTCAGGAGCTAATGAAGGACAGGGAAGCTTGGTGTTCTGCAGTCCATGGGGTCACAAAGACTCATACACCACTTAGCGACTGAACAAGAAACACAACGTCACTCAAATTTCTCTTGGGGAAAAATTCTTAGATATGATACAATAGCTGTGATCATTTAAAACATCAATAAATCAGGTGTCATCAAAATTAAATTGTTGCTCTTCAGAAGACACCATTAAGCAAATGAAAAGGCCAACAACAGATTGGAGGCAAATATTTGCAAAATAAATAACAAAAGACTTCAACCAAAATATATAAACAACTTTTGCAACTCAGTAATAAGATTAACAGTTCAATTAAAAATGAGAAAAAGTTCTGAATAGGCACTTTATGCAAGAGGATATGCAAATGAGCTCATGGAAAAGATCCTTAATAAGACTCACCATTAATAAGACCCATCCACTAGAATGGCTAAAACTAAGAAGACTGACAGCGTCAAGTGTTGACGAGGATGTGAAGAAACTGGAAATCTCGCATATGGCTGAATGGAATGTTATCTGGCACATCTGCTTTGGAGCATTTTGTCAATTTGTTTAAAAGTGAAACCCACACTTTACCATCTGGTCCAGCAAGTCTACTGTCACATAAAGTGGCTGCATAAACAAAATGTGCTATACCCAGACAGTGGAATACTACTGATCAATAAAAGAAATGAGCGACTGATACATTTAACAGTGTGGCTAAATCTCAGAATCATCATGTTAAATGGACAAAGTGAAAGTCATTCAGTCGTGTCTGACTCTTTGCGACCCCCATGAACTGTAGCCTGCCAGGCCCCTCTGTCCATGGGATTCTCCAGGCCAGAATACTGGAGTGGGTAGCCATTCCCTTCTCCAGGGGATCTTCCCAACCCAGGGAAGGAACCCGGGTCTCCCACATTGCAGGCGGATTCTTTACCATCTGCGCCACCAGGGAAGCTCAAAGCCCGACACAAAATACTAGATGTGTGATTTCTATAAAAGGCAGAATTAAGAAGACAAAGCAGATCAGAAGCTGTTTGGGACTGGGAGGCTTGGAGCAGAGATCGATGGCAGATGGTATGAGGATGCTTCTTAGAGTAATAGAAGATACCAGTATATGTATACCAGTGCATACGTTTACTAAAACTCATTGAAATGTTTATTTCAAATAGGTTAATTTTATGGTAATTATACCTCAGTACCTAAAATATGCAAGTTCCCCATGAGATGACACATGGTCAGCCTTCAGTACATGTTCATTTTCTGCAGTCTTTTTAAAAGGTGGATCTTGAGAACAGATAGATCTATAAAGATACAGAGATCCAGATGAATGTGTATACTGTCAAAAATAAAACGTGCAAAAGACGTAGCAGTTGGTTCTAAACTGAGGTGTACTTGCTTTTCTAGTGGAATGATGTGTTGAGTGTGTTGCTCATTACATTCTTCCACGAGTAGCTTTAGGTGATTTTGTGTGGTGGAGAGAATATATACAAGAAACTAAAAGACACTGTGGGATGTATTTTCAGTCACAGGAGTTCTTTAAACAGAACTGGACATTCAAAACTGGATTCCTGAATTCTGCCTGCAAAGTTTGTAAACCTCAGGAATGTCTCTGAAGATGTCAGACTGTATCATTTCATGGACTGGACAGAATACTAGTTCAGCAGAAAGGATCCCTGAAATCAAATAAACCATTCCATTGAAGAACCAAACTCTCAAGTGCCTTGGATTTACACTGCTGAGTTTA